TGATCGACTGTGCAGGTACGAATTATTTTGTAGCAGTGGTAATGTTTATGAACAATTTACTAGAAATAGGTATCGACTCACAAACCAACGTAACATATACATACAAAAAACATATATAATTTATGCAAATTTGTGGATAAGAATAAATCGAGATAGCCACCAATTTCAGTTGGATTATAATGAAGTTAAGTCAGGGTGATTTTTGAATGAATCGGTTTTGTTTTGGCTGGAATGTGCTGAAGTGACCTAATTAGTTTCTGGAAAACAGCCTACTCTAAAATAGGGGGAATTGGGGAATTTACTAAGTCTAGTATAGGGTAGAAAAAATTCACTTGAACTGGTATAGGCTAAGGGTTCTAGGGTCCCAGCCGCACATACATGTACCCACCCAAAAATTCCTAAAGTACCCCTGGCCCTGGGAAAAAGTGAAATATACATACCAATGACGTTATGCAAATTTGTGGATAAAAATAATTCTTAGATAACCACAGATTAAAGTTAGATCATGATGAAAATACATTGTAATAGCCGTGAAGAGTGATTTTTGAATGAATGGGTGAGGATTTAAAAACAATGGAATGCTTTTTGCCAGCTTGCTGTTATATCATAAGGGCGGCCACATAAGGAAATGTGTGGCATAAACTTTGAAAGCACAGCCTGGTCATAACTGCATCTTCTGTTGAAACCTCCCCCAAAAAATTCCCACTACAAAAACCTGATCAAAACAGATTTTAAAAGCAAATAACACTGATGACTCATGGTGCAGGTACGAAACATTTTGTAACACTGATGATATTTATGAACTACAGCTGTATTCTAAAAATAGGTATGTCACATACAAAAGTACATATTTCCCCCGGGGGGGGGGGGTACTGCCAAATATGCTACATAGGTAAATGTATGTGCCACTGTGAAGGTTTATATGGTTTTCAAGCAGTTTAATCTGGGATAATTGGTTTATAAATCAGAGAGTTTGGGTCTAGAATCGGGTATCATTTCCAGGACACTGATCAATTGTTTAAGGATTTTAGTCTAGACAAGAGAAACCGTCAATTTTCAATTAAAAATAACATTATGCAAATTTGAAAAACAAGGGAACCGCTGCTTTTGACCAGCTTGCTGTGATCTTCTAAGGGCGGCCCCATGAAAGATACTGGGCATAAACTTGAATAATCAGCCTGGTCTTAGCATCAGTCATTGAAACCAAGCAGCAAATTCAACAAAAAGTCTGATCCTAACAGACTGAAACAGCAACATTTGATATCAACAACTAAACTATTACATAAAAGTATCAGTTTTGCTGTACAGTGTATAACTCTGCACTTTGAAAAAGCTCATCAAGGTATGCAGTATATATCTGGCTTATAGTATAATTATGTGAAAAATTTTTGGTTTACATTTACCCAGAATTCAAGTAAAAAATGTGAAACATTTTCCCGGCTTTAACGACACTGCTTGACTCCCACTATAATCTTAATATACTATTGAAATGTTGCTGCATATTATTTTTACATCGCTGGGTTTGAAAAACAAGGGAACCGCTGCTTTTGACCAGCTTGCTGTGATATTTTAAGGGCGGCCCCATGAAAGATACTGGGCATAAACTTGAATAACCAGCCTGGTCTTAGCATCAGTCATTGAAACCAAGCAGCAAATTCAACAAAAAGTCTGATCCTAACAGACTGAAACAGCAACATTTGATACCAAAGCCAAAACATATGTCCCATGACATACCGCGCGCCTCTGATGAAACATTTAGGGGGTGGTTTAGCCCCTACGTGAAAGTAGAAAAATCTGATCAAACAGATTTTAAAAGCAAATATCAAGAGTCAGAAAAGTTGGTTGTGGTTTTGATTGTAACAGGGGAATGCGAGGCTGATACAATAGATATATAGTTGATAGCAATATATATTTCCCTCACTCATATTCCCCTCATCGTAGTGCTCATATTCCCCTTGTCATATTTCCCTGCTCATATTCCCCTCATCGCGTTTAACCGTCTCAGCAAAACAACACAAGTCAGGATTTTGAATTTCGATTTAATGAACTTAACAAATTTTCCTCGTCGGTAGTTGTCACAGCGCAGTATTACCCTTACGTGACGTATTATTGGTCTCAGTCTTAAAATGTCCATGCATCTGCGTTGATTTAACTAGTGTATATTTGTACAGCAGAAGTCTTTCTCTTCTTTTTGCCTAAAGTTAGACCAGTAACTGGTACAATTTCACTACCGGTATGTCATTTTTGCGGGATCTTTTCCCATTACTCCCGCTTTGATGTATCTTTTCTTCATAAGCTTAAAAAGGAGTTAGCCAATTTGTAAATAAAAAGGTCACCAATCAACTTATCAGTGGCTAAAATGATTTTATCTAATGAACAACTCATGTCCGCAGTACGCGTACCCATATCACGCATTCACTAAACAAATACGGCTATCTGGTCACCCCGCCTAACATGTAAACGTGATCACATTAAAATGAGAGATTATATGGGTGGGCGGGTTACCCCACCTTAGCGGGTTACCTCACCTACCTGGGGTCCCCCAGGTACGCCCTAATAGGTTCGACGAGATCTCACCGAGATCTCGCAAAATCTCGCAGAGTTCTTGGCGAGATCTGTTTTATCTCGCCCAACTGTCTATCATGTTTGCGAAATCCCATCGCGATCTCAGAGAAATTACAAATGTCGCCGAGTTCTTGGCGAGATCTCTTTTATCTCGTAGAAAACTCTTTCATATCGGCGTGACCTCGTTTGTCTCGCAGAAGTATCTTTCATCTCGTGCCAATCTCAGAGACATTACAAATCTCGCCGAGTTCTTGGCGAGATCTCGGCGATATCTCGTTTATCTCGCCGCGACCGCAGAGACTTTACCAATCTTGCCGAGTTATTGGCGACATCTCGGCGAAATCTCGTTTATCTCGCCGCGATCTCAGAGGCATTACAAATCTCGCCGAGTTCTTGACGAGATCTCGGCGAGATCTCGTTTATCTCGCCGCGATCTCAGACACGAGGAGCCGCAAGCGGTGATATTTTTGCACGGCATCTGGCGGCACATCAAAGAATTTGGAATTGAAGGGCAAATTCCTAAAATATGTTCGCCAGTTAAGCTAGAGAAAAGGTGTTAAAAAACCTCAGGATCCTAAACAACACGTCAATCAAAATATCACTTGGACCTTTTCGCTAATGAAGAGTTATCACGCGGCTAAGCTTGATTTAGACATATATTGAAATAGGAACTCGTGTCAATAAACTATCAGAAGTGAGTGGGAATCGCTCCTGGTTAAAAAACTGGTTCACAGGGATATGCATCTCTTCTAGTTAAGAGAAAGGAATTAGAGCTTCTTTTCACGCAGGAACAGGTTTTCTTCGGGCTAACTACAAAACTTCAGCTTATTTTACTCCTTGACATTGTCAAAGCGCATTTTGTAAAGATAACTTTTTCCGCTTTATCAGCTTTTTTTATATTCTATTCCATTAATGTTCAACCTCCCTCAAAAAGCCAAATAATATAAATGCTGTTGTTAAAAAAAGCGTTTTACCTGTTTTCGTCAATTCGCTACCCAAAGACCGCTATGCTCAAAGGACAGGGCAAAATTTCCAGGAGAGAGGCATTAATTGTTTTTTTTTTCCCACGAGGTTACAAAGAGAAAATGCAATGATTATTATTAATGTAACCATCAGGTATACTCTACCCACGAGGTTACGGACAGCAAATGCAGTGATTATTATTAATGTAACCATCAGGTATGTTCTACCCACGAGGTTACAAAGAGAAAGTGCAATGATTATTATTAATGTAACCTTCAGGTATGTTCTACCCACGAGGTTACAGAGAGCAAATGCAGTGATTATTATTAATGTAACCGTCAGGTATGTTCTACCCACGAGGTTACAAAGAAAAAGTGCAATGATTATTATTAATGTAACCTTCAGGTATGTTCTACCCACGAGGTTACAGAGAGCAAATACAGTGATTATTATTAATGAAACCATCAGGAATGTTCTTCCCACGAGGTTACCGAGAGCAAATGCAGTGATTATTATTAATGTAACCATAAGGTATATTCTACCCACGAGGTTACAAAGAGAAAATGCAATGATTATTATCAACGTAACCTTCAGGTATGTTCTACCCACGAGGCTACAGAGAGCAAATGCAGTAACAATTATTAGATTTCAGTGCAACTATCAGGTTGAGTTCCTCCATTAAAAGAGTTTTTTGCTAGGGTGAAACAAGTTTGGCTTTCATGAGTTTCAAGGTGCAAAAAAGTATCAGTATAATTATAGCACACAAACATTGTCATCTAATCAGCGTCTAATTTTTCGCACGTAGCCGGAATAAGCCAAGAAATGAAGCATATATAACGAAAAATCGTCCTCAGATGATCTCCATATTAAGTAAATTATACTAAACGTTGCGGAAGAAATTATTGTTTGTATCCGTCTTATCCATCGTAAAAGCGATGAGTCATCGCATGACATTCGGTATGTTAAACAGAGGTAATACTCACGGGTTTCACGACTTGTATGCACTATTTTTCGCCGAGAAACAAATTTAAACTTCAATTCTTACCTTACAGTAGTCCGTTCTTTTACCTTGCATTCGACAACAAATCCGTTAAAGGCGAACAAAGCGATTTCGGCACTCTTCTTTATGATGAGTAGCAAGCCGCAGGAACTGAAGCCGCTCGACTGAAGTAAAATCCACCGATTTTGCACAGCATTCTCACTACAAATATAAACAAACGTCGCGGGGAAAAAAAGACGAGGAGGAAAAAATGCCAGATCTTCGCCTCGGTAATGTATTCCAGCTACCATGCCGGCGTATCTCCAGAAGGTGGACTCGAAGTGGGACCTTGTGATTTTTTGCGCGCAAACTAATTTATTCTGGCGCGAAATGAAGATTAACAATATGTATACTGAAATCTAATCCACGACAAGAAGATTTTCGCACTGTAGCGCGACATATTAAATGCCTATTTTTACAAGTACGCGGAGAAAGTGGTCCACTAGTTTAACTTTTTTAAGATGAATTTACTCCACAAAAGCAAAATGAAATGTTTTATCTCTATGTTGTTTACGTGCCTGATTAGAAGGCAGAAGTAAATTCATCATACAGACCCCATCAAAATGAAAGTACACGAATGAAACGGAATAAGTCTGGGACGGTTTAGTTTCTACTCAGCAGCTTCTTTGCTTTTATAACAAAAATTTAATGTTGCAGTCTGTTTTAAACGTTGGCATATCAACGCGCACAGTCACTGAATGAAAACAACAGTCACAATCACGTTCTTCGAAACCGACCAGACGCGCGCGACCTACCACTGTTATGGTAAGCAATTATCCTGAAGGTGTTAATGTTCCCGTGACAGTCTTCACACTGAAGGTGTAAATGGTAAACCGAACGGTCGCTTTGATCATCAGAAAGACCTGTCAACTTTGATGATTTAACTGATTAAATTACGGGACTGAAATTTTACTGCTTGCTGCTCCTCGTGCATTACAAATCTCGCTGAGTTCTCGTCGGGATTAACGCGATCTCGACGAGATCTCTGTCATCTCGGCGAGATCTCGCTTATCTCGTCTAGATCTCGGCGATATCTCGTTTATTTCGCCGAGATCTCTGCGACAATACAAATCTCGTCTCGTCTAGATCTCGCCGAGATCTCGGCGAGATCTCGCCAATCTCGCCAATCTTGGCGAGATCTCGGTTAAATTTTTGCACGGGTTAGACAACTGAATTAGAAAGACTTGAGCACTTAGTCTTAAATAAAAAAGCGCTAATGGTCTACAAGTCTTTAAATGATCTTTCTCCAGGATATTTATCCTCTAAATTTGTTAAACAATATGAAACGCGCTACTACCTGAGGGACTCTGTTAACAAACAAATTTTCCCATTCCCGCGAACTGACTTCACGAGGAACAGCTTCAGTTATAGCGGAGCAGTTCTCTGGATCAGCCTGCCCTGTGATATGAGAGAGACTAAATCTTTAAGTTAATTTAAACGATTGACTCATCTGAATTTCTGATTTTTTAAGTACTGTGTACACGGCATTCACGAAAAACATGTCTTGGTTAGGTTAGTTGTACAATGTAGATAGTTTTGCAAGTTTTTAGTTAGGTTTATTTAAATTTGTTTGTACACCTGATTAATTTTTACCGCGTTTAAATAAAGGATTTATTATATTTTTCTATTCTATTCTATTCTATTCTGTTCTGTAAATTACCTAAATCAATCAACCAATCAAACTGACGGATTGGCCGATGCCAGGGCCTTGTCCCGGCCCACCTGCAAAACCAGGGAAAAGCGCCCCGGCGACGAGGTTGAAAAAATCTCTCCTAACCTCTTAAACTTGGGTGCCCGCCTGTAAGCCAAGAGAGGCAGAGGAGTGAAAAATCCACCGAGTTATTCAAACTAATGCAATGTATAAAAACTGCATTGAATCGCTAAAACTGACGATCAACTGAATTATCCAAATTAACACAAGGTAGGAAAACTGTATTTAGTAGCTAAAGCACGATCGATTTGAGCTATGAATTTTTCACTTTATACAAGACTCTCGTCACCTCTTAAACTCGGGCGCCCCACCTGTAAGTCAAGAGAGAGAGCAGAGTAAAATCTACTAAATTATCCAAACTAACACAGCGTATGAAAACTGCAATTGGCTAGCTAGTAAAACATGATCGATTCAAGCTACGAGTTTTTTACCCTTGAAAAAAATCTCTCTTCACGTCTTAAACTTGGGCGTGTCGCCTGAAAGCTAAGAGGTAGAGGCGAGAAAAATCTACTGAATAACCCAAGCTAACACGGCGTATGCAAAATGAAATTGGTTAGCTAAAACATGCTTGATTCAAGGTACGAGTTTTTTACCTTTAAAATCTTCACTTCTTAAACTTGGGCGTGCTGCCTGTTAGCCAAGAGGGAGAGGAGAGAGAAATATACTGAAATATCCAAACTAACCCAACGTAGGAAAACTGCAATTGGCTAGCTAAAACATGATCGTTAGGTTATGAGTGTTTTTACTTAAAAAAAAAATCCCTCTTTACAAAATACGTTCCTAAAAAACACACTTTCAGCTTCAAGCAAAAGAAGATCGAAATACACACTCCGTAATTGGTTGCGTACAGTAGCTAATAAGAAAGCAAGAATTTTCGATCCGCGGCGCGGGCAATAAATAAATGTACAAAGCTATAGCTCAGTTTAACTAGACAGAACGGCTTACCGTTCTCGCCACGACACAGAACAACTAGAGTTGCTCGTGTAAGAGAAACTGAGCTTAAAGCCAACCCAGCAACTGATGAGGTTTGCGTCGAGAACCGAAATCATGGTCTTGCCTGATCACAAAGTGGCAACAACAGAACAGTCGTTAGACTGTTAAACTAATTCAAAAGTTATTTAACCACCGAGGGAAAATTAAAGAGCGCGCTTTAGTCTTAAGACTCACGTTATTGTTAGAAAGAAACAAGTTGGAGTTTAAAAATTATTGCTCAAAGAGCAATTTTGACTGGGTCACAACGCAATTCTCCATAGCTAATGTAGCTTAAGTTTAAACTGCAATCCAGAATTTATTCTTCGAAATTTGGAACAGTCCTGTAACTCACTATCGATGGAAATTTTTGAAAATCAATATGCGTGTCATGACCTCTCAGTATGAAACAAGCGGCAAAAATCACATTTACTCAGTCAAAGCGTAGAACCCAGATTATGATATACCCACTTGAGAAAAAAAAAAATGGTGGAAAAGCAGCATTTTGGCACAAGGTAAAAGTAGTGTGCTGCCTACACCGACCCCCTTTTTACACTCTGTTAGAAATTCAAGCGTTGTGGCGAGATCACGTTTCTTTTGGTGGGTTTTCTAAATTATCTTTGATTTATAATATTTACGCGTTATTGTACAATAATCAAGGACCTACACGATACCAAAGGCAAGTAAATATTTTTGTCATTCAATCCTCCGTTTGCTTTTTCCTGCAACCACGATTTCTGTGTCGTCAAACCGGCTTCATCGATGTGCAACTCCGGTTTGTTTATGCAAAATGGTCATTTATTTCGCCTTTGTTTGCCAATGTAGTACCGATACAATAGCCAAATGAAAGCTTTTATTAAAAATGTGAACTTGGTTTCCCTGTTGATTACATGGCACTACAAAAATAAGTAATCAAGAGAGGTTTGATTGAGAGGAAAACGTCCACTATAGGCTTTTGGATACCTAAATTAGTTATGTTAAAAACCATAAGAGAAAAGAGGCGGCGCATATACAGCTGTTTTGAGAAAGGTTGTCGGAAAAAATGCACGCGACAATCCCGAAAAGTATTGTGGGTGTTTTTTAGTTCACTGTTTTTCAAAGAAACTTCAAAGAATGGCAGGAGAGGCCAGGGACGTATGTTTGCGAGTGTTAAAGGAAAGCAACAAAGGTAGGTTCGACAGCTACAGTGTCAGGAACAAGTGTATTGATCATATCCCATATTACCTTTCGGTATTGTAGAGTGCAAAGTTTTTGCGACAATCTTTCTCGAAATAGCTGTATATATACCGGCGTGAAACCATGTGTTGACGTTTAATATTTTGGCTTTTAAGCACGTCCTTTGCCGTAATTTTCCTTTCTTGTAGGAAATAATAGGTGGTTCTTTAAAAATTTGGCAAAGTAGTGGTTGGTTTTGTATGAGATTCAACTTTTTCATTAACGCTCCTTGTACAGAAGACACACTAAGGGCTGGTATTGTGTCTTTTCCGTCCTTATTGTTTTGTTTCAGGGGAGCGGACTTCCTTTCTTTGAGTTTGATTTGTGATACAAAATTTTTCTTTAAAATTGTGTGGAGCGGCCTCTGCCCATCAAGTGTTTTATTATTACTATTATTATTATTATTATTATTATTAATTAGAAATACTTTCCCTTAAAGTTGTTTCAGAGGAGTTTGTTCCTAGGATTCTTAAGGCTTCCTCTTTAAAAATTCCATGTTGACAATTAGTGGGTGACGGGAGTTTTCCGTTCGTTTAATTTAAAATGTGTTTTTACATCAAGGATAGCTTTTTCGTTGAATCTTAAAGACGGTTTTGCTTACTAGACTCTGTGTTTCAATATATGCCCTGGAAATGTTAGCAAACGAAACTGTTGTCTTTGTTCTTATCGCGGTACCGCTGTGGGCTTGTAGGCGGTGCTTGCCATTTGAACTGGAAAGAATTTTCTTCGAGGATGGTGGCTCGATAGGGTTTTTCGGGGTCAATACCTCCCAAGTTTGACGATCAACTATGTCGCCATTAGCAACGATGGGGAAACAATTACCACTACGTACAGGATTACGATCAGCATTACAATAACACCGGGGTTGTCATAGCAACGAAATGACGCCATTGCCTATTTCACTTGCATCCGTATTCCTCACCACTCGGAACTCTTCTTCCAAAATCGTTTACGGGAGCTTTTTCCTCCAATAGCCGCCTCGATGTTTGTGAAGTTTAAGCGAAATCAATGAAAACTCTATCGAGCCACCTTAAGCTAAGCATTTCTGGAAGGTTTAGAAATAGGAGGATTGTCTTCGTAGAAATTTTCGTACGCTTCGCAAACTCATTCAATACCCTTCTTGTTTTGTGGTGTACTTGAGTAAAGACTTGTGACATCAATTGCGTCGTCGCTAGTATCTTCAATGTATGACTTCTGTGATTTTGATATTCGTTGTAGCAATATACATGTACGTGTACCAACGAAACGGAAATTCTTTCCGTTAGACCATTTGATGAGTCAAAATTTAACTTAGTTACTTCCAAAAAATACAAAATACTCTTCTTTCTGAAAACAAATATCGATGATGTCGGTTTATGTCGGTAGTCGGTTAATAATTTTGCTGTTGGTAGTCGGTAATGTTTTCTCGTTTTGTCGGTAGTCAGTAATATTTTTCGCCCTTTGTCGCTAGTCGGTTAACCCCATTCACACCCTATATTGTACCGTTTGTTGAAATAGTAGTACTCTCTGGGAACGAATGTTACCTTTTCATAAGGGAATCACTCTCTTGTTTGTGTTTATTTGTACAATTTTGTTGAGGCGCACATCCTTAGCGCCATTGTGCAAAAAATAATTAATTAATTAATTAATAAATTAATAAATTAATAAAACCAGTAGGAGGTGAGGGGTAGGTAAAAAAAAAAATTGTGCGTAGTGTGAGAGCTTGCTTGCCTTTTTTGCCTTGTTAATATATTCTTTTTAAATCACTGAGTATTTTACTCTTTTTGTATTGTGTTTAAAGGTCATGCAGCTGATTTCTTGTTTCTTTAGAAAAAAGATGTCTGGTTTAATTGCGAGCAATTATTAGTCTCGTGTTTCAATTGGTCATTTTTGGTTGTCTGTTGTTTCGTGTTTTTTAAATCGTAAATGCTGTCCATGGGGTCTTAAGTTAGAGCCAAGTCGTATTCAAGTATCGGTTCCGTTCCTTTGCTCGCATAATTAACCGACTTCAACGACGTGTTGAAACGAGCGTCAGCAATGAGCTGTCAGCCGTTCACGACTATTTCAAGTGGTTAAATGAAAAACAAACAAA